GGGGGGGGTTTGTTCGAACCCCCCGAACCCCCCCTGGCTACGGGCCTGGTGCAATGAGGGGTTATAGAATGTATTAACCAACCAAAGGGGCACAAACTAACACCGAGGAACCAAACGAATTTCAAGGGCCAAAATGATCGATAGTCTCTTAAAATCTCTCTCTAAATAATATAAAAGCTTTGTCCTTGAGCTAATCGTGTACAAAATCAGAATGGTTTCACACGCTCATATTGGAGGAGTAACTTGATTTGAATGTACTCGGGGCACAACAGCACTACCTCGATATTCACATGGTGAACATGGTAAATCTTCTATATACCTGATTACAAGTAAGTCTTAAACAAGGCATCATAGCTCTATGCGCAGGCAAAATGTTACAAGTACAACATAAACTATCCACATATCTATGGCAGGGAACATCACCGAACGACCACAATCTCAAATGAAAAAGTTCACTGCCATATTGTTATATATATTCAAAGATATAATCGTAAAATCTACATGCAATATAAAGCAGGCAGGCACACAGACAGACAGACAGACAGACAGACAGACAGACAGACAGGCAGACAGACAGACAGACAGACAGACAGACAGACAGACAGACAGGCAGACAGACAGACAGACAGACAGACGGACAGACGGACGGACGGACGGACGGACGAACAAATAGACAGACAGCCAGCCAGCCAGTCAGCCAGCCAGCCAGCCAGCCAGACAGACAGACACACCGACAGACGGACAGGCACACAGACAGCCGGACAGACTGACTGACAGACAGACAGACACACCGACAGACGGACAGGCAGACAGACAGCCGGACAGACAGACAGACAGACAGACAGACAGACAGACAGACAGACAGACAGGCAGACAGCCAGACAGACAGATTCAACTGTAAGTAATACTACTTACCTACTATATTTTCGACATAATATAAACTATGAAAACACAGTTTTATGATTTCATTGTTGTATTGAGATGTTTATTTTATTATGACATGTTAATGCATTGTACTAACAGAGAGTTATTGATTTGGCTGTATAACTCCCTGTATCGATATACCTCACTGGAGTTCTTGAAATGATATCCGTACTGAGTAGCTGCCCTCTCCATCACCTTCTCCGCAAACAGAGGGAACTGCTCCCCTCTCGGCTGCACGAGAGACACCCTCAGCAAGGCTTCATATGCAGACCTGGCTCGTTTGTCGTTGTCATCACCACGATACCAACCGTGGTCGCCCCAGAATGGCTCTTTGAACATCTCCGTGTCAAAGAACACCCATTCGCCGTTGGTCATTCCCAGGTCATAGGCGGTCAGCATCGCTTCTCTGACCGATTCTCCGCGCAAGCTGAGCACAATCACTAGAGATTCAGCAAAACGAAACAAAAACAAAATTAACTATACATGGCGGATAATGGCTTACAGATATGTCAAATGCTACGACGGCGAGGAAATGGTGACCAACGACTATAGATCAAAAGCTAATAAAACAAAACGATAATGTGTAGGTACCTACTTCACCTACCTCTTGATACTGTACTGGCCTTTGTTAAGAGTTTACTGAAATCAGTATTCTTGTCTGTTGCGTGTGTTGAGATGTCCAAAACAAACGGGAAAATATCATCCTTTTGTAGTCCTTCTTCCAAGGAACGACCGAAGTCAAGTGAAAATATGTCACTCACGTCAATGATTATTGCGATGTGTGACCAGTTGAAGTGGATAAATATGCTGTGGAGAACTTTTCGCAGTCTGCACTGGCAGTACGATGTACGAGTAAGAGTTGGGTAGAACAGTTTTTTAATGAAAATTCCTTGTGCCCCTCCGCCTGTTATGATAGGAAGGTTCCAGAAGGCTGCCATACGGGCGACAGCGTCCAGAGCATGGGAGCAAGCCGGTCCAACAAAACCTATAATATCATTCGTGTAGAACGCCTGTGCGGCATAACCCGGTGCCTTGTCATAGTTGCATGAGTGGCCGTACGAAATCTCAATCAGCTCTAGACGGTAATTGTCGTTGAGAACGTCAGCGTTGATTTTTTCTACCGCTAGGCTGACTGCCGGCGCACATTTCATCATGTCGTAAGGCGCCTTTGTATGAGACATCATCAGCAACGCTACACGATACACCGTAACGTTTGTTATTTCCATCGCTGTCTCACTACTTGCGAAGTAAACGATGCTGATAATATAAAATATGATCGAGTTCATGGTTACTTGGTCTTATCCTGGGGAAATTCGCCTGATAATGTCCCTGTAACAGAAATAGAGCGCTGACACGCTTCACATGCTCGTCGTTCACTGTTATGAATGCAGTGATGTCGCAACGCAGAAGCGATATGCGACGACCACCCAAACCGAAAACTACCTGGATAGAATGGACGTGATGAAATGACACATGCGCAGTTACATGTGAACTCTTTCATATAAAGGTCAGAAACTAAGTCATATTGCGTCGCCACAGACACAGAAACACACACACACACACACACACACACACACACACACACACACACACACACAGCACACACCACACACACACACACACACACACACACACAACACACACACAAATACACACACGCACACACGCACACACGCACACACGCCACACACGCACACACGCACACACGCCCACACACGCACGCACGCACGCACACACGACGTCACACACACACACACACACACACACACACACACACACACACAGCTACACACACACACACACACACACACATATATATATATATATATATATATATATATTATATAAGTGTGTGTGTGTTCGTATATATATATATATATATATAACATTTGTGTAATAGAAGAATTTTGAAATACCACATATACAGCCTGTTCTGCTAGCATCTATGACAAACACGACATACGCATATACGCCCTCCTATGACACTATTTGTCATAGGAAGATTCTTCCTATATTATGACAAATATGGTTGTATGTGTTGTGCGCGTCATATGAGTTTAGGAGCGCTATTATGAACGCAAGCAGTGAATTTCTGCTGTAAAGCGGAACGTTAAAGTTCACTCGCCAATATTTGTCATAGGAAGAATCTTCCTATGACAAATAGTGTCATAGGAGAGCGCATATGCGTATGTCGTATTTGTGATATAGATGCAAGCAAAACATGTTGACATATAACACATAGCTATATAATACCACACTATATCTATCCACTCGTATTTTTCGGATGGATATACTCAATGCCATTCACCACTGACGCCAGCTATAATTTTTATTAATAACGCTGTCTCGATTCACGCGCACATAATAAACATCTACGGCGACGTTATATAGAAGAAAATCTCTCGTGCCTGATACGATAAGTACTTCGAAACGTTTTCAGGAAACGTATTAAGGTTTCGCCACGGAAGCTCATTACGTACGACGTTTTACGAACATGCGCAGTGACGGCGTTCGCGCACGTTGTCGGTTTAATCTGCGATGCTAGTGTCTTTTTTATTTTTGGCGCTCGGCGACAATAAGGCTGTGATCATTTGCCGCTGCCCGTTGCTGACGCAAGCGGCGACCAAATGCTATTTATTTATTTATTTATTTTTGTTCAAGTTTATTTATGTATTTATTGAATCAGTTACCGTGACGTACACCAAACCGGACTGTGACCATTAAATATTGTACGTATAAATTTTAGAAACCATTCTGAATGTGTTTTTTTAAGACTAGTGTCTAGACTAGATGTCGCTTGTATGTGCAAAGTGTGGATATTAAAATAGAGTAATAGGCTTCATTAGTGTAGAGGAAGTGCTACCCCACGAGCATCGTATAGCGCTTGCCTAATCATAGGACGGCGTAAACGTTCAGTAAAAACATCGTATGTGAGTGAGTATCACGGCATGAAATTCGAGAATGCGCATAAAAACAACAACGTCTCTCCTCTCTTTTTTACACATTCCACGCGTATTATGTGCTGAAATACAATGTTTTATCCTTAATATGCGAGATCTATATGGCAGATAGTTGCTGCCAGGCTGGCAGGCTGGGGACCGCTGTCTAATGTGAGGGGAAAAGCTAGGCCACCTGTTACCGTGATTTGAAGTCAGAATCTGCCTGCAGCTCTCTTATTTGCACATGTATATGAGAGCGCGCAGTGGATGCACGTATAAAACTGATAATATGAAACAGTAACTGCCGATTACAAATATTCGTATGATATGTATGTTTTTATTATTGATCAACGCAGTGTATCCAGTTTATTACTAGAATTTTGTTTCGTATTATTCGCATACGTGAAATTTATCGAATAAGATTATTCTTCCGGAATTTCCTTTCCAGGATGAAATTTATTTAACATTCACAACACTTTACGATAGTACTCCTGAAATTATCTTTGCATGGGTACGTAAATTAAATCAAGCTTGTGCGTCATGAAGAAACACTTACGTATGCGCGGTAGCTTCTTATGACGTTTAATCCATTTGTTGCCGGTGACATTACTAGATAAAGGTCACACTCGCGTGATATAGTTAATTGATTTGCAAACTCACTTACCATTGCAGGTCCTGCAGAAAATAACATTAGAACTAAAAGCATCTCGTAAGTGAAAGGCTTGGTTCTGAAAGGCTTGGTAAATGGAAGGCTTGATTAAGCTCTTTATCCTCCGCACGTAGTGCAGCGGAGGATATTGTTTTCGTGTAAATTTCTGTTCTATTAGAATTAACAAATTTAGCGAGCATCCATAAATAAATGACATCCCACAATGAATATTATACATAGATGCACGTAAAAATCCAAAAACAAAAAGCACAGGCGATAGCCTACAAAATATCACAGGTGTAGTGATCGCGTGTGCAGAGGATTCGCACTCCATGAGTGCCTTCTAGTTTCTTAATGTATCGCAACTGCAAATCTAGCTTTCGAACTTGATTTGATTATTGTAGTAATCACTTTTGTGTGTACACTGAATGTGCATTCACCAAGTTTGATAGGAGAATGGAGAATGTCCCACCGTCATCGGTAACATATACAGATTGTGAAATACGTCGTACTAATAATTGTTAGTGTACTAGGTTTCTGTGCTGTGCTCACCAATTCGTTTAAATGGATGAACCGATTGGGAAACCAATTTCGACTTGGTATATTATTAATTTTGTATCACTTTTAATAAATGGTCGAACGTAGTAGGCTATAGTGCCATGAGATACATAACACTGTTACAAATGCCATACATGAATTTTCATGTTATCATACACGGAGTGTGAGTCGCACATGAAAGCATTATTCTAATCCAACTTACACAGGAAATTAAGCCCAGGGTCGTAGCCTGTGGTGGTGGTGGGGAGGGGGGGTGTTAGGGCAAGAGGGGCAGCTGCCCCTAGATTTTGGAGCAAAATTAAAAAAACAAGCTTAGCTAATAATCGTAAATAACCCTAACGTGATTTTTTGGTCACTTATCCGTGAAATCCTTATCGTATATCACTTATCATTGTCTCAGACCCACCCCTACCACACTATGAACGACGATCAAGAGTTGCGCCAGACCCTCATCATTACACAAATGTGTCATGAAATTTTGCTCCCCTTAGGAATTTGCTCAGCGTATGGCCCTGAAGCCTTCTCATTGTTTTCAGGTTTAAAAAATATTTTTCTACGAAAATGGGCGGGTATGGGCGAGAATGGCGAGAATGAGCGGGTACAGCTTTCTATATTAAATCACATTCGAGCAAATTTGGACTACAGCTGGACTATTTAACAGATATTCCGTGGCGTGTCCGCAAGGACGTTGATTAATTCAATTGTCTAAAATACATAACCGATCATGCATGACGTCTGTATGACTACTCTAACGAACAAGAGGAGTGCTTAAGTATCACAAAGCTGCTTCAATAATAGATGTCATTTAAAGAACTAATGACGAACTAACAAGCCCACTCTTATCATATAGAGTGTAGAAATGTAAGCCAGGTGAGATACAAGGTCAACTTCTAACCGCTCACGAATATCGTCCGACAGCGGAGTGGCTGACTTGAAGACTGTATAGTCAATTCGCCCTCCCACGCTGTATTTATTAAAAAAACTTGTTGTGATATATGTAACAATGTAATATACTTGAAAGCGTAAATAAATTTCAAAATCTAAAAAATCTAAAATCTAATATCGTCCTCTTAGTCTGCAAATGTCGAGAGCTCTACAGGCGCAATTTTGTCTATTGCTGTCATGTTACATGTCCGCGTGATAAGGCTATCGCTCTGGAATGGAAGACTGACCAGGTGGCATGTCGTGCCTAAAAGCGAAATGTTACATTTATTTCAGGCTTCGGCATTTCTCAATCCCACTTTTGAACAACATGTAAATTAATTACTACGCTGCAATTTAGATATTTTGTAACATGGCATTATAATAACTATGTAAAAATTTCAAATTAATGACTTGATATTAATGAGAAGTAATTAATTTTAATTACCACGAAATGCTTAACAAAGTTTAAATAACAGTAGTCCTAATTGCGCGTGCTGACAATGAATATGATTGAAATTATCACCGATGGGTAGGAACACAAATAACTAAAAATATAATTATCACTGAAACCCGGCGATACCTATGCCGTAATTGCAACCGAGAGCAAATAATTACCACTAACCTAGTAGTGTCTACAACACACACACACACACACACACGCGCACACGCACGCCGCACACGCACGAAACACACACACACACACACACACACAACACACCACACCCTCACACGCACACACACACGCGCGCGCGCACACACACACACACACACGCACAACCCAACACACACACAACACACACACACCACACCGCACACACACACACACACGCGCCCAACACACACACACACCTCCGCACACGACACGCACAGCACACGACACAACACACACACACACACACACACACACGCACGCACACACACACACACACACGCACGCACACACACGCACACACACACACACACTACACACAACACACACACACACGCACACGCACACGCACAGCCACACGCACACGCACACGGCACAGCGCACACGCGCACGCGCACGCGCGCGCGCGCGCGACACACACACACACACACACAC